TGTTGCCGATTACCGCATGTATTTTAGATTGAGACACGTGGGTTACTATAAATAGTAAGCTCCGCCCATTTTCCTTATACGTAAAATATTTACTGCGCATGCACCCCGATTAGGCTGATCGGATGTTGGGCTTTAAGTGTTTCCTGCAGTTTTGTATGTTTGTTGTTTAATGCCACACTCAGCAATATTCCAGCTACATTATAGCAGTCTGTTCATGAGCGCATATTTTAATTTTGAAAAATGCAAAAATGTTATGATGACACTTAGAAACGGGAAGTTTGTAATCAGTTTAATATCCATTTATGTCTACTAAATGCTTACTGTACTTGTCAGAGGTAACATCCCGGAACTCAAAAGAAACCCTGAGTATTATAATAATTATTTTGGTATTTTGGAACATATTGTAGGACACCAAATGTTTAAACTTATCTTGCATTACTCCTTCATGCATTTACTGCTATTGTAAAGATGAACTGTGTGAGATCCAGCTGCTGAAGAAAAGTTGGTCCAGCCAGTAGAGGCAGCACCCTCGCAAAGTCAGCACGTGACCAGGAAGCAATGACGTCACATCAAAGCACATTACTGCTTTGTCACCTCCACAGACATGCTGTTGTGTCTCTTGTGAAAATAAAGCTTATTGTTTTGCTGCATTGCGTGTTTCTACATCGTTTGCTCACTAGATTCTCTTTGGTTGATTGTTTGTACCCATTCCTAATTTTATAAGGTTTCATAGCTCGTTTGTGGCTATAGTCACTGTAATTTACGGGCGTATTGTTGTTCCTTCCCGCCATTTTGAGTTCACCACGTGGCAACGTACATTCGTGTCTTGCATTCTGAATTTGGCTTCGGTAATCCATTAATTTTGTTTTACCTCATGTTTGTGTGTTTAAAGCTTTGCTTTTCATTACCTTTCTGCTTAATGTTTATCTCACTTAAACTTTTAAACGAAGTTAATTTGAGTTACATTATGCTTCCCGTTGTGTGTTTGCCACATCGTTATGATTTTGCTTAAATTCCAGACTTTATTCCCTGCTGCACTCGCTGCCTTGGGAACAAATCTGGTCAGGACCCCAACCCCCTTTACCTTGATCGTAAGACGCCCTGTACTTTCGCAGCACAGTGCGTATATTGCAGTCCTTTGTTGCAGTGCTCCTTCAACTCCTACTTAGGAGTATCCAGGAAACGTCTCACTCAACGGGTTCGTTGACACCCCGAAATAGCTTGTACCTCAAAGACTCCCTGCCTTATCAAGATTGATGCCCTTTAGCGGTCTGCCACGCCTCCCTTGACGTCACCTTTATCAACAACATCGTCTCACCAATCCGAAGATGCCGTTCTGGGACCGGCTTTTCCTTCTCCTTTGCCATCTACTTCGGCATCTACGTCACGGCACCTCCAGCGCACTTGGCTTTCATGGCTCCTTCTTCAGCATCTACGGTGCCCTCGGGGCCCCTCCAATCAGCACCCCCACACATGTCTCCGCCTTCCTTCATTGATCAAGCCCGGATGCAAGTGTGGATGTAGTCGGTGTTTACCTGACGGCTCTAGCCGCAGTAGCGCTGGCGGGGCCTCCTGCGTCTACTCCCCTTACAGCCCCTTTGGTGTTGATTCAGCTGAATTCGACTACTGACTCTCCGAAAGCCTTTAGCCCCTCCATCTACTACAGGTTCTCATCGGCCTCATTTGTCTTATGCTTCGTCCAGAGGGATCAGAGAGATCTTTTCGACCTTATTATGATCCTCCCTCTCCAGAGATTGAAACCTACCTGGGTCCTTCCATAGTAGCTGATTGGCCGGCTGATCGTTTGTCGTCCGTCACTCCCTCCCCGGGTTTCGAGGATGACAAAAATCCACAATCTGGTCTAACCCGACTTCACTCTATGATGACCGACCTTGTTGCGACCTTGTTGCTAGGCTGTCCCTCACACGGTTGTTCAAGGCCCCTCGTTTTCGTTGTGATGATTTTCCTGTCCACTCCTTCAACCTTGCTGATGGAGCACACACATTAAACAACGACCAGCATCGAATGACCAGGTTGTCCAAGTCTGCCACCATTCATATGCTGGACTCTCGCCTTGTCTTTGGGGAGTCGTAACTTCGTCGTTCGTTGAAACCACTCTTTACTCTAGCCTCCTCCTCCAGGGCTATCGACAAATACTAATAGGATCAAACATCTGCTACCAGACGCTTTGGGTACTTGGCTTTCACAGAATGGGATTTACAAATTCAAGCGATCCTTACTGCCTCAAACTTGGTCTGGGCCTTCTCTCTTTAATGGAGCTATCACTGCTACCCATGCTAGGGTCCCCGGCTTTGTGAAACGGCCCTCAAGGTCACTCAACAGTCAGCGGCCTCCAAGGGCGATTACAGACATCGCCACTCCTCACTTAGGTCGCTTCCCAGCACTCCTCGTCTTTTCCTGGCCAAGGTGGCCTGTTCCTACCAGCTGCAACACGAGTGTCACCCCAGCAAGGGTGACGATTCGAAGTCCAAGCGTTGGCCTGCTGGACTTCGACAACTGGGACGTCCCACCCCCAGTCATTCCGTTCACTGAAACACCGTGTTTTGGAGTAATTGGACCATACTAGAGGACCCATTTATGACAAACGTCCTCCGTCAGTGGTACCAGTTCTCGTTGGTACTACATACTCCTCTAACATCCACTCTGACGGCAGACACCCTGCTTTGCAAGGAGGCCATAGGTTCAGACACCGTGATTTTATTCCCCCATGTTTCTGGTCCCCAAGAAGGGCTGCATCAAACTGCGCATGATCCACAACCTTTCCATTTTCAATCAGTGTTACCTGGAACGTCCTCCTTAGTACCCATTACCAGTGGGCAGTCCTACCATTTGGAATTTCTATGGCCCCATGCCTTTTCACACAGATCACCAAGCCTGTGGCTGCCTAACTGCACCTGAAAAACGTCAACGTCTTGTCCTACATTGACTACTGCAACAATCGGGACTTGGAGTTTCTACTTCGCCACAGTTGGTTTGGTATGTTCAATCAGACAAAGTCGGAGCTTACTCAGTCCTTTTGTCTGCAATTCATCGGCGGCATGTTTCTCACAAACAAGGACCTCCTTCAAGTTCCCAGGGATAGGTGGTTGAAAATCCTTGCCCATCTCCATTCTGATCTTCATCAGGCTTGAGCTCTCTGCCAATGGCATATTCTCTTCGGTTTCCTCACATCAGGTCAAGACCTGACTGCCAGGGTCGCCTTCAACTCTGTCCTATTCAACAGTGTTGGCACCCTTCATTCGGCGTCAAGATCCAGAGATTGCCATAGTCCTACACCCATTCGGGTAGTGGATGGTGGAATCGAATGTCTTCGGCGGCGTGTCCTTGGACGTGCTACAGCCAACCCTCAACCTGTTCATCGACACATCCTAACAGTGTTGGGGAGCTCAAATGGAGACACTTGCAGGACTGTGGTCTGGAGATCAACTCCATTGCCACAGCAACAACCTCAAGCTAGAAGCACTTGTCCTGGTCGTCTCTCACTAGCAGAGCACTCTTTGTTATGCCCAGTTGACCATATCCATGGACAACATCACCACTCTCAATCCCTGCTAAACCAGTTCTACGACACATCCCAGGTTGCAAGAACTTTCTGACAGAAGCTCTGTCCAGGCCAGACAAGGTGGCTCCCACCGAGTGGCAGCTCAACCCAGAAGTCTTCACAATGATCAGCCAAAGATCGACTCCCTAAACTTCAATCTGTTTGCCACATCTCGGAACTGCCAGCTGTCGACTTACCTTTCACCAGTGCCAGATCCAGCAGCGGTGGCAGTCGTTTTCCTCAGGGGTCCCTGGGAAGGATTAAACGCATACGCTTTTCCATCTCCAGTTCTCCTTTCCCAAGGTTCTTCAAAAGATCCAGGGCACTCGGAAACTGACACTGATTTTGGTCATACTTTGGTGGCCGGTCAGATGTTGGTTTGTCGATCTCCAAAACCTCGCCAGGGACAATGCCCTGGAACCTCCAGCCTGGACCAACCTACTGTTCCACCTGCACAGTTGGTTACCACACCCAAACCCTGCAAAGTTTCATCTGCACACCTGGCACATCTGCAGAAAGCCCTAGTAGCAAACGGCTTTTCGGCTAGAGCGGTCAAGGCTATTACTTAAGCCTATCATCCATCTAAATGGGGACTGTATGATGACAGTTGGTGCTTCTTCTTTTTACGATCTTACGAAGAAGACGGTGCTTCTCCTGGCCCTAACTACTGCCGCATGGGTCAGGGTGCTTCACACCATCGACTCATACTCATGGCGCCGTTTATCTTGGGCAGTCTGATAGATCATTCACCATGTCTCTCTCATTTCAGCAATAGAAACTAACATTTTTAGTCCACTAGTCCTTATAATGATAACATACAGCAAAAGCCTTAAAATGCTAGTCTTTATGATACCTTAACTATTTGGCAATTTGGCAAGGACTACAGGACTAGTGCCAGTTTCTAACACTTTCGTTTACTTTTGACAGGAATGGTCGTTTACTGTGCAGGTTCATCGGACCTTGACAAGGGCTCGTATGGGATCACATCTGGAGGTGTGCCCACCTGCCGTGCCGTCTGATAAAGATGCATTGAGGAAGAAACTCCCAATACATGAAAATACACAAAAATAACTTTACAGTTTTGGAATCCTTGAACAATTTAGTAAAATCTAAATATTTTTTACATTTGTATACTTATCCTGCATTACGACGTCCGAGTGCCCTCCCTTTGCTAGACTACCTCCCCATGAAGTTTCAGATGTTGTGTTTATAGCAGTATAGCAGACATCATAGTTATTTTTCTGTATTTTCATGTATTGGGAGTTTCCTGCAACTGCAGAGTGAGGGTGTAGGAGGCACATACATGTCATTCTGGCATCCAGGGCGTTAAATACCCAAGGATGCTCTTGGAACAATTTAATATTAGAATTTCAACACAGCCAGTGGATGAATCATACGGATGCAGCATATACTAATAGCTGAGTTTCTTCATTCACAGATGCAAAACTTACAGAGTACAAGACAAATGAAAAGGCTGTGATGGACATTCTCAGTGAGGTGGCTGTAGCAAGGCGAGAAGCAGAAATAGTAAGTCACTTTCACTTGGAGCACTTTCTGTAAATAAATGACAGAAATGAATTTTTAGGTCTCATGTCCCTTAAATGTCATATGAACTTTACGTTGTGTCAAGTCATGGTTTCATCAAGTTAATTATCAAAAAGACACATTTGGCGCAACCATCATAAAATTGCTGATCCTAATGTCACTGTATTATATTTGCATTATGGTTTCCTTTCACAATCAAAGGAACCAATAAATGGTATCAATCCTCAGGACAATTAGGATGCTATCAGACTTTGTTTCCATTTGCTAGTGAACCCCATCAAATTGTGCAGGGGTGTTCAAAATGTATGCTCAACTTGCATGCCCTGTGGAAATATAGCGCCAGGCAAGTTGGAAAATATAATTTGGTTGCCCTCAGACAACTATGAAAATAACAGTACTAACTTTGAAACTTAGAAGATGCATCATGTGTCTGCCAACTGCAGATATAGTACCTTAATTTTTCTATTCTACACATCTTATCTGCTTTCAGATGTTGTTTCAATGAATAAAGTTTTGTTGTTAAGTTTTCTTCTTGTCTGATTTATCAGGGCAAGTTGAAAATCAGGCTGGACAGTAGAATTTTTAAGTTTGGCAAGTAGAAAATATTGGGATTTGAACATCCCTGGATTAGGTGTTTGATAATCTCAGGGATATGGTATGGAGTACTAGTATATCACCTGCATTGCCCTGGGCATTTCTTTGGATCATTCATTATAGCCTCAAACAAATGGGAGTATCAATAACTAATAATAATTATTAATATTAATAATAATGATAGTATAAAGCTGACATGTATGTGTAAGGCCTTCTTCACCATACTAGCATAGTGTTTTGCAAACAGTTGTCAGAGGGTGTTGGGGACATTGAGCCTTGGTATCAGGGATATGTTTGTATCTATCAGGGACATTGAGCCTTGGTGTCAGGGAGGTGTTTGTATCTATCAGGGACATTGGGCCTTGGTGTCAGGGAGATGTTTGTATCTATCAGGGACATTGAGCCTTGAAGTCAGGGAGATGTTTGTATCTATCAGGGACATTGTGCCTTGGTGTCAGGGAGATGTTTGTATCTATCAGGGACATTGGGCCTTGGTATCAGGGAGATGTTTGTATCTATCAGGGACATTGGGCCTTGGTGTCAGGGAGATGTTTGTATCTATCAGGGACATTGGGCCTTGGTGTCAGGGAGATGTGTGTATCTATCAGGGACATTGGGCCTTGGTGTCAGGGAGATGTTTGTATCTATCAGGGACATTGAGCCTTGGTGTCAGGGAGATGTGTGTATCTATCAGGGACATTGGGCCTTGGTGTCAGGGATATGCTTGTATCTATCAGGGACATTGGGCCTTGGTGTCAGGGAGATGTTTGTATCTATCAGGGACATTGGGCCTTGGTGTCAGGGAGATGTGTGTATCTATCAGGGACATTGAGCCTTGGTGTCAGGGAGATGTTTGTATCTATCAGGGACATTGGGCCTTGGTGTCAGGGAGATGTTTGTATCTATCAGGGACATTGGGCCTTGGTGTCAGGGAGATGTTTGTATCTATCAGGGACATTGGGCCTTGGTGTCAGGGAGATGTTTGTATCTATCAGGGACATTGAGCCTTGGTGTCAGGGAGATGTGTGTATCTATCAGGGACATTGAGCCTTGGTGTCAGGGAGATGTTTGTATCTATCAGGGACATTGGGCCTTGGTATCAGGGAGATGTGTGTATCTATCAGGGACATTGAGCCTTGGTATCAGGGAGATGTGTGAATCTATCAGGGACATTGGGCCTTGGTGTCAGGGAGATGTTTGTATCTATCAGGGACATTGGGCCTTGGTATCAGGGAGATGTTTGTATCTATCAGGGACATTGGGCCTTGGTGTCAGGGAGATGTTTGTTTCTATCAGGGACATTGAGCCTTGGTATCAGGGAGATGTGTGAATCTATCAGGGACATTGAGCCTTGGTATCAGGGAGATGTTTGTATCTATCAGGGACATTGAGCCTTGGTATCAGGGAGATGTTTGTATCTATCAGAGACATTAGGCCTTGGTATCAGGGAGATGTTTGTATCTATCAGGGACATTGAGCCTTGGTATCAGGGAGATGTTTGTATCTATCAGGGACATTGGGCCTTGGTATCAGGGAGATGTTTGTATCTATCAGGGACATTGGGCCTTGGTGTCAGGGAGATGTTTGTTTCTATCAGGGACATTGAGCCTTGGTATCAGGGATATGTTTGTATCTATCAGAGACATTGGGCCTTGGTATCAGGGAGATGTTTGTATATATCAGGGGCCATTAAATTAAAATTAACAATAGTCATCACAATCTATCAATTTACAATGGCTCAGTACCACAAACGTCAGTGTTCCTTATCCATACACATTGAACATGTTTTCTGGGCCTCAACAAACACATATAAAATTGAGCAAATATTTATTTAAATTTCCCTATGTGAAAATGTGTGTAGAGCTAACAATCAGTTAATTTGTTCTTTTGAATTTGTGGGGCCTGTGAGATTGGTCATTTCTGATGACTCCTGTTAATACAATGGTGTGCATGTACTGGTTATGTTGTTTGAATGCTTTATATAGTATGACCTACCTGATATACAATGACCTACTATCAATGAGTAGCAGTTGCAATTTCATTTTTGAAAGTATGTGGTGCTTGGATATTTCTTGTTATTGGGATTGGGATCCTTATGATAACTTCGGTCTTTCAATGGCTTTAAGCAAATTTAGTTTCATTTCTATTTTATTACATTGAATCACTGAATTATTGACAGAAACTAGATGAACAGGACTTTGGGGAAAAGAAAGCTGTTATCAAGAGGAAATGTCTTCTTGAAGAAACAAAGGTAAGCCACTCACACAGATCTAGACAGTTTAACAATCTGTGTGACCGAGACAACTTGATGACTTCTATCTTCGAAGGATTTTCCATTTCTTTGGATTTTGATGACTTCTTAAGTTGTCCGAGTCATTAGAGATCACATTATTGTCCCACGTGGTCATACTGAAAATGGAAATCAAACGATTTGAGCAAATTCAAGTGTCATCATTTGTCAGAACAAGTATGTGAAGTTTCAGCTTCTTTGGTTTCGAGGTTTCTGCAGACATGATGTGAATATACAGTGAGAGGAATGCATTTTGTGTGAATTGAGGACCATGGTCAAGGTGCAAAGGTCAAATCAGAATGGGTACATGTATATGTGTTACTGTTACCAGGAAATTATTTCCCAACCAACTGCAACATAAATGTTAATTTATATTTTTGTTTGCGCAGCAGTTACATTCTTATCAGCACTCCCATTCCAGTTAGTATCAATATATCTGAGATCTGTATTACATCGGCAGTACAGCTGTTTTATTCACTTGTCAATACTAACTGCCATTTATTTAATCTCGCAGGTTCCTGATGTTTTTGTGCTATTTATAACTTTCAAGTATTCATCTCTGGAGCATGCTATTGGTTTGCCAATGCTATTTTTAATCTATCGAAAGTATGCATGCACTGTCTGCATGTATATTAAAGCCAAGTCACATGAGCACTTCCTTCCTCTGTTAATCTTACAACTGGATTTAACTCCCACCCTCCCTTCCCTTGTATTAGGGCTGAGTGGGTTGCTAAGGGGGGATTTATAGTCCTTTCCATATCAGTATAACGTGGAATGGACTAAAGATCCCCCAAAGTAGTGGTAGTACGCCACAGCTTGGATGGTCCGGGTCCACAACCCCAGGACTTACACATCCCAGGGATAATCCTGGGTTCATGATCTAGAACAAACAACATATCCCACGAGACCGTCCAGGTCCACGACCCAGGGCAACTCGTCTTGATGCTTTTGGTCCTACTACTGCTTCCTGGTTCATGACCTCCGCACGGTTCATGACTGCTGCATTATTATGCAACAGAGTCAGCCCCACATCACCAATGTATACACAAAGAAGAACAAAATTATGCACACCCTAATATAATTTGTTATTGTTTGGTCCCAATATTTGTAACAGTCATGAAAGATATAATTACGCAAGAATTACGTTTTCTCGAGATGATGTAATCAGTCATGCGTGACGAAAGCACACGTGCCATGCATGGTATGCCCGTGCATCATGCTACCCTCGAGTATCTCTTAAAGCAGTATATCCAAACGTTAAAATTGCTTTCTTAAGCTCGGGTTTAAACAGTTATTCCATGACATTGTGTGACCATGGCACGAAGGATATTATCAAACGCCACAAGATGGCAAATAATTGGCATGCATAATGCAGGAATGTCTTGTAATGCCATTGGTTGGAATTTGGGGTATCATCACACTGTCGTAAGCCGTTTAGTCGAGAAACATGTTCATCCCGGTGATGTATAGGACCGTCCCAGATCCGGAAGACCTCCTGTGACGACACATCATGAAGACAGGGACCATCCTCGTCTCATACGCCGAGAACCCTTTTTAACAAGTACTTGTCTGAAACAGCTGGGTTGCCCAATCATCGTTTCAGCACCATAACAGTCAGTAACCAGCTGAAAGCAGCAGGACTGAGGGCTAGACGAGAGATCCCTTGTTGAGAGATCACCACAAAGCTGCTTGTTTAGCATGGTGTATTGTGCGACATAACTGGAATCTGAGAACATGGAGACAGATGCATTGGTCAGACGTAAGTCGCTTTCTGCTCCACGTCACTGATGGAAGAACGAGAGTTTGGAGGTACCGGATCACGGCCTACACCCCCAGGAACATGAAACCAATTGTTGCATACAGCAGGGGCTCGGTAATGGTTTGGGGGGTATCTCTCATGATTGCAGGTTGTATTTAAGGGGCAACTTAACAGGGGCTCAGTACATCCAGGACGTTTTGAGGCCAGTCGTCGTTCCTCATTTTGATGACCCCCCTCTTGCTACACGACCTCAGTACATGGATGACAATGCCAGGCCTCATCGTTTGCATGCAGTCATGGATTACATGAGGGCCAATGCAATAACGACTCTACCCTAGCCAGCAATGAGCCCAAATTTGAAACCCCTTGTACATGTTTGGGATATTCTGGGGCAGCACATACAGGCACAAGATCCTCCTGTACAAGATTTACGCCAATTGGAAGCAACATTGCATCAGGAGTGGTTGTTGTTGACCCATCAACAGATCCAACGTCTGACTAGAGGTATGAGACGTAGGGATGAATGCATCATCTGGGCACGTGGCGGTTATAACCGCTTCTGATCTGTTTCACATGTCATGTCAAGTAGAGACTTTAAGGAACATTTTCACATGAATCATCAAACGTAACTCGTTTACTTAATCCTGCAGCTCCATACTTTTTTTTAGGTATTGTCTAAGGTCAAAAAACAGTAGCTGTGTTACCATGATGTTTTTGTCAGTAAATTTCAATCACAACTCACCAATATCTTCTTTATTTGTTGTCAAATGTTTGTTCTATCGGATCACATTGGTATCACCCAGCTCCAGTGGTCAGTCATCCCATGCCATGATTTTTGCCATTTGTCATTGTTCAGAAATAATGGTGTGCTTAACTTTTTTCTTTGTTTATATATCCTGTTAATAAATATTTATATGTATTACCGTGCTATGTTGTTGCGGCACAAAGTACAACTTCAGCATGACTAAAACACTGTGATTTGATATTAGGAAATAAATTAGTTCAACATATTTGGATACTATTTCTCTAACCTGTCACTCGTACAATGGAAAATATTGTGTTGATTGCCACGAAACAACATGGTTGTGTTCAAGCAGTGCACACAGGCAATAGGTTGTGATGAAATATATATCTGTGGAAGGTTATTTGATTAATTCCATTTGAAAAATTATGTATTTGGTCACCATTTTGTGAAGTAGACAAGAGTAAAAGTAATTAATCTTGAACTTGAGTAGCATGTTTATGTTTGTTGGTACCTGTGAGCACTTTTCACCATGTTCTAAGATACCTGGCCTATTTGTCTGTGTGTAAGTACGCATTCCAAGTATTGTTTTCTAAGCGACCTTGTCCTCATGGGACAATGGAGACAATGCTATACATCTCATTGATACATTTGAAACCTCGTGCTCATGTGCTTGGTTCCAAATTGAAATAAGAGGTATCTAATCTGTGTGTCTCATTATTATGATATTCAATTTTGTTGATTTTGTTAGATTTTAATGTTAGTTATTGGTATTTAAGCCGAAATATCAATGCTGACAGCAACTTTGTTTTTGAAACTGTTCCACCCCTTCCCAAACCTCTGCTCATGCTCAGCCAATTTACCAATATTTTCCTCTGTTTGCGACTGTCAATAGCAACAGTATTTGCCGTAGCACATTATGTGGTAGTTTTCACACTGTAAAAAGTGGATATCTTCAGTTTATGTAGTTTACTAGAAGACTAAGTAGAGATTTTCATCTGTGTTATAGCTGGAGAGGATTAGTTTACCTAAGAATGTAGTTGCGATGTGGTAAACATTGTGGGAAGCAAGATGGCATGTCCTCATTCAGCTTGGGGGCACTTGAAGATCGTTGGAGATCCTCCCTTATGCTGGAAGTGCTGATCTTTTAAGATTTGCAGATGACTCTAGATGCCCCCAGTATGCTAATCTCCCACAACATGATTTCTTTAGGATTTTGGAATCATTGAAGAATTTGAAAGTGGGAAAGCAGCCAGGAAGATAGTGGCTGCACTGACTATGCTTAATTCAGTGAGAAGTACCATTCTAGGCCACAGGAAGACAACCCCAGGCCTTCCCCAGTGTCTGATGTTCCATCCTATACAGATGCCACGCCTCTACTGTCTATGAGTCTCTTTACAAACATTTTGAAACAACAGCAAGAGATCATGCAGGCCATGCTTCAAGACAGACGAAAATAATGTTTTTTGACTAATATCGATATCCCAAAAGCCTGAAAGCAAACATCTTTTCTACAATATGCCATTTACGATGACAGAATTTAAAATCCATGAATGTCGATGAGGCACGGTGACAAGCAACCAACCAGTTTCTGACAGATTCGTAAAGAAATCAGTAAAGATGATCAACATGTGATCCTAACAGAGATAATCAAGAATGGATGGCCTCAGACTTTGCATAATGGTCGTTCCTTGAGTAGCATCAAGGAATTTTGGAGTTTCCCAGATGAACTGACTGTGGATGGCGGAATCATCTATAATGGTGACAAAACTGTCATTCCAGTGTCCATGAGAAAGGAGATGTTAGAAAGGATACATACAGGCCATTTGGGAATTGTGAAGTGTAAGGATAGAGTCTGTGATGTCATATTCTGGCCACGAATGACAGTTGACAATGAAATAATTGTGGCACTTGTCAACAGAACAGAATGAAACAGTGCAAGGAACCAATGATACCTAGTGATATTCCTGCTCTCTACCATGGCAGTTTGTGGCAACTGATTTGTTCCAACTGAATGGACTTCATTATATTGTTGTAGTTGATTACTACAGTTGATACATTGAGATTGCTCTACTGTCAAGCACAAAGTCAACAATTGTCATACCTCACGTGAAATAGATATTTGCTTGACATTGTGTACCCTACAGAATTGTGTCTGATCATGGGCCGCAGTATGCCTCAGTGGAATTCAGACAATTTCTTCAAAAGTGGAAGGTTGAACATATAACCACCTCACCCTTAAATCCACAGGCAATGGTCTTGTTGACAAGTCTGTATAGATGGTGACGTGACCATTACTCAAGGCTAAGCAGAGTGGTGATGATCCCTATTGATCCCTACTTGCTTACCACAACACTCCATTAAGTAAGATTGGATCTTCTACACAGCTACTTATGGATAGACATTTCAGGACTGACTAACCCTGCAATCCAGATTTACTGAAACCAGAAGTCATCAGTT